TTCACATTGAGCAAGGAAATCCTCCTCCCTACCTTCATCTCTCTATTTTTGGCCTTCACTCTAATATTTCACTGGACTTGGCTTCACCAGACAGCCAGACGGATTCCAACCCCTATGTTTCTCCTGTTTCTCCCCAGCCTGTAGGATTTTTCTTTCTTTTTTTTTTTTTTAGCACAGGAAAACTTCATTCTCCCAGATCAATGAACATATTTCTTCTATGCCTATTATTTGGCCCTGGATATGGTCCTTTGAAACTCCAAAGACACAAGGTTCCTAAAACTCAAAGCCTTTAGTCCTTGCCTCGAGTTTCAAAGGCCTGTTTTGAACCTCAAAGGCCAAGCACTGGCTGTTTCTCTCATTGGATCCCTACTGAAAAACCCTACACTGAGGACTGCGGATACGAAATGCATGCTATTGAAGAGACCACAGGAAATACCTGGAACCAGAAGAAAGAAAATGACATCAGCTTCAGTTTCACAGCGATCCATCCCAAACTCATTCAAATAAGTAGGGAATCGGAATTCAGATTCAGCTCAGCTTTGAGCAGAACTCGGGGTGAGATGTTTCCTGCCCACATGAAAGATGTCCTCTGAAGTTTGTCCAGCTTCACAAATCAATTACATTTGAATAGCCATTGCTAAATATTTACGTGGGAATAGACTGGGCATTTCCTAACCATCATCTTTGTACTGCACTCCTGTGAAACAGACATCATCGTTCTTGGTACTGTTTTACAGATAGGAAGACTGAGATTAGCGAGACTAGTCACTTGGTTAGTTCATCATGGGACTAGGGATCCAACCCAGTTCAGAGCTCCGTGTCAGCCACATAAAAAAGAAGAGGCAGGCAGGGAGAGAAGGGTCAACCTTTGACCGAGGAGAGGAAGGGAGGAAAATGGAAAGAGTCTCAGTGCGAGGTTACTGTGCATGCTGTTCCCTTACCAGGAATGCCTTTCTCTCAGACCCTGCACGGCTGATCTCTTCAATATTTAACTCTAAAATGAAAATATTTCAGAGATGATCAGTGACTACCCTGGTTACCCACTCACTGAATGCACACATGTTCACACGTGCGGGGGTGAGTGTGTGCACCCCTCCCACAAACTTTCGTCAACTCCTGTTTTATTTTTCAAATGACCTCATTCTCCTGGAGTTAACTTTTCATGCATTTTTTTCTTATTTTCTGTTTGTCTCCTCTTTTCTGGAACAGGAGCTTTAGCGGTCAGGTGTTTCATAGGTTCTGGCCTCTTGTTTACGGCTGCTGTTGTGAACAGCGGCTGGTTCCCTTAGTAAATTCATCAGACTGATTTGGCTGTAGGAGAAGGAGCGATCAGAAAGGGTCAGAGGAGAAAAGCCCTACACGGCATATCTTCCAGCCACATTTCAGAATAGAAATGACATTTTTAACCACTTGGTACTTTTCACCCTTGATGTCAGAAGCTGTTTGGGAAGTTCTAACTGTCTTGCTTTGGGGCTGCTTCCTTAAATGAGGATCAGAAAGCCTCTTTAATGTTTAGCTTCATTTGTTTATCAAAGTCAGAAAAGCCTTTGTCCTACATCATAGCTGGGATTTAGCGAGATGGGTACTTCCTCTGCCTTGTACTTCAGAAGAGCCAAATGTAGCTGAAAAAATTTTTTTCAACTCTGAAATCATCCAGAAATGTGAAATTTCAGCCTAGTTTCCCCTAAGAGGAGGGGAGTAGAAAGAAAAGTTCAAATTACTGCCTGATTTCTAAAGCCCTCTGTGAAGCTGGGCAGCAGCTCTAGCTAGCTTCTCCACCTCTCTATTTTCAAGCTTTTGGGAAGGGCCGTCCCTTGAGGCATTGTCCGCCCAAGCACTTCCTACACTGACTGTGTATCAAGGAAGGAAGGAGTCTGCAAGCTTAGCTACTCTAGACCATTCTAGTCTTACCACCACAAATTTGAGTATCCCCTTCACAGATTTTTGTTGTATCCAATGAGGCACACTACCAGTGCCTAATGTGTATACGCATATAATATCACACTTGATAACCATGCGTGTGTGTTTAAGCACTTAATCTTTGTTGATTTTGACTCTTTGCACTTAAGTAAAATTTCATATCATTAACATAAAAGTGGAAAAGAAGCAGAAGGTAGCACTTTCTATAAGTAGAAGAGAATGATACACACGCAACATGAAGAAGAAAACAATATTAGCACTCTGGCTTTTGCCTGTTAAGTCTGAGATATTAGCAGATGCTAGGCATTTAAGACAGAGGAGCATCAGAAATTAGACTGTCTCTTTTTAATGAACCAAAAAAGAGGAAGAAAAATGCAACACGGGTATCCTTCTTCTTGTGTATTTTAGTATGATCTTCCACCGTGTTTGCGTACCTCCTAAAGTCATCTGGCAAAACACCTAAAATAATGGTTGTGTTTGCCCTGAACCCTGGGAATGACTTCATTATTCAGATCTGTGATCCCATCTGTAACATCTGGCCACGGTATCATCAAGCCTGGATTGAGCATCTGTTCTGAGGGAAGGAAGCTCAGTCTTGCAAAGCAATCCACTCCAAGTTCCCTCTGCAGGGTGAGAAAGTTCTGAAACACATGAGTTTGGAGGGAGTGAGAAGGAAGCAAGTTCCTTAAGAACCTCTGAGCAGACAAGATATTTTAGGCAGATGGAGGCAGAAGGGAAGAAGATAGCAGAGCCTATTTTGGGGGACTGCAAACAGTTCATTCAGTATGGCTGGATCCACATCACATGCCAGCGGGGAAGCACAAGCAGGTGAGAGATGAGGTGAGCAGGAGCCAGACTGTGGGGAACCTGGAAGACTCGGCTAGCGACTTCCAGCTTCACTCTTGACACCAGCGCTGTGCCTGCGGCCCGTCCTTTGCTCTGGTATTTATAGGTAAATCGTACTTGGGTGGTGACAGCATTCCCTTCTGGAAGATCTTTATTTTTACTCTGTGACTATGTTGATAAGTTTTAGAGGTGGGTGTAAGGGAGGTGAGAGCTTCTAAGATTTTGTTTTGCTTCATGGAATATGAAGGCTGAGAGAAAAGATGAATTTCTAAGAATCATAAAAAGGGATTTGCAGAAGATTCGGTGGCCTAATGAAAAATGGTTTAATAAAAAAAGGGGGGAGACGCTCCCTTCAGGGGAACGACAGAGGTGTCCAATGGGACGTTTGATGAAGTTTCTGTTCTCAAGGCAAGAGCAGAAATGGGACAGCAGAGGCTGAGCATATGTCTTTTACTTAGGAGGGGCAGGAGTACCACCAAGTAGAAGGGAGATGACAGGGGGAGGAAAAGGCTGTTGATTTGGGCTGCATTAACAAGCCAGCTATCACAGGGAGTGCCTGAAGCTAGACATGTGGTTAAAAATATGCCTCAAAGCAATGCACACCAAAGGACTGGAGAGGTGGGATGCTTAACTCCACTCTGTTGGCCAGTGGTAAGGGGTTGGGCCCAGGGAAATTTAGTGTCCAGCAACTACTGACTTGTGAAAAGCGAGGCCAAGTGGAATTCTACAACCTGGGAGCAGCCTTTCCAAACACACAGAGAGACTCCTTGTTGGTAGTTAGAATGGCGAGTGAAAATGGCAAGAGAACGAGTGGTTCTAGGTAGAGTCACCAGCACTCAGTGATACTTGGTTTGCAGTGTGTACCTGCTTTCCTGCCAATCACTTGAAGTCTACGGAGATGTGCCTACATGCAGTTCATGGGTTGGAAAGTTGGAGATGATTGGAAGATGGGACGAAATGCTGAGTGTGGCCGTGCATAGGGTTTTACAGAGAGCCAACACTGTCTAAGCAGGCCTCCTTCATCTGTGCTACACAGCTCCCTGGGCGTGACAGTGATAAAGTATTTTGCAATGACAAGTGCGTTTACACTGCTTGAAAATCAGGTCAAATGAAACTTACTGGATCTAGGAGCTGAGAAGTTCAGGGCTTGGTCTTCAGGTCAAGCTTAAGTTAGGAGCTGAAATGAGGTAGATCAGATTTTGATGATCTCTGTCTGATTTTTTGCCTCTCTTTTTCTGTGAGTCGTTTCCACTCTCGCCGTGTTGTAACGAGATTGTTGCCAGCAGCTTTAGGCTTGCGCTCTGTCCTCCTTGCCACCCCAGCTGAAAGATGATTTCTTGTAACCAAACACTTAAAATAAATTCTAGTTCTGAATCTGACTGGCTCTGGCTTCCCTTCCTCTGGCTGTCTGTACATCCCTGAAGCTCTCACTGTTCTGGTCTGATCTGGCAGGCTGAACTTGCAGGCACTAGCTCCTAGAGCTGGGGGCCAGCTAAATTCTGAAGAGATCTCACAGACTCCGAGGTAGAAGAGCAGATAAAGTGGGTTCTGTTGACAGAAAAAGAGTGAATGGAGGTTGCGGAAGCAACCACAATAAGTTAGAAGCTCAGACCAATTTCAAAAGCCTATTGTAAAACGAGCCCCTCAAGTTACCTTGGCCCCAAATCCTGATCTTAACAGCACCTCCCTTCTTGAGCCAGATCTATGGCTTCCTTTAGAAGCTACTGACATCAGCTGATGGATGAGGGACTCAAGGTTTCCAAGGCACTGGATTGCCTTTGACTGCTGTAACCTTGAGCTACAGGCTTTATTGGCAGTATTTAACACAAGTCTGTTTTCCATCCTTGTCAGGCCCCACTTCAGTATGCAACAGGGGAAGTCGAATTGTAAATTGATTTCTTTAATGGGGAGTGCTCTGCAGCAGAGAACAACCCTTGTGGAGATGCATTAGTTGGATTACAATTGAATCTTTTTGCACTGGCTTTTATAGACCGTCTTCCTTGCCAGAAGGGTGGGGCTCCGATCTCTTCATTTCTCCATTTATTTATTTATTTAGATTGGAAACCAACACAGTTTGGGCTGTCCCCTCTGTTGCCTCAGAAGCAGGATCTTCCAACTACCAGGCTTTCCAGGGAAGACGGAAATGGAGGAATTAGCTTCTTAGAATGGCTGAGGATGATTAGTGTCTCAATGGATTTTTTAGACAACCTTGGAGCAGTTGAGTGGCTAAAATCATGCAAATAAGCACTTACTTGGGAGTCCAAGGGCCAGCATTCTTGACTCTTGGTGGGACTTTTTTTCGCAGACTGTAGTTTGAGATAATTTGGTGGGTTTTCTAGAACCTAGTAAAAGTCTGCTTACTTCTGTTTGATAAGGATTCATTACTCTTCTGTATATGACAACACTAATAATGATAATTTTTTTTTTATTACATGCTAGGCTCTCTGTATTATCTCCCTTAGTCCCGGCCACAACTCCAGTAGATACGTCCTGTTATTACCCTCACTGTAGTGATGAAGGCATCGAGACCCACAGAAGTTCCACAACTCGACCCAAGTCACACAGGTAACAAATGACTAGTAGGAACCGTATTTATATCTATGTTTGATTCCAAAGAAAGTTGCCTTAGCTATCTTTGCACATTTCCTTCCGTGAAAAAGCATGACATCCTCATCAAAGATCAAAGATGGATTTGTTACTTTCCCCTAGGGAAGGACCTAGATGACCTTCAGTGTTAAATCTGAGAGTGTGGCACAGAGACAGAAATAAAAATTGATTGGCTATGGCCAAGGCATATCTGCTTAGCTATCCCTGTTGTACCCACTCATGGCAATGACCATCTTTACCTCCTAGTTGTGTTGGTGACATGAGGTGTATTTTCAAAGAAGAGAGAATCTGGACTATGGCTGTTGTCTTGTTGGGAAATCAGATAGACTTCGGCCTAGAGAAAAGCCCATGATTTTCCCTTCTTAGAACCTGTGCCCTACCTTGTCTCCAACTTTCCAAGATCTGATCTTTCTGGAGACAATGAAGAAGTGAAAACAACTCCATGACCAAAAATAACTTACTTTCACTGAGCCTTAATTTTTCATCTGTATTATGAGATCAATAATAATATTGTTCATACCTATGATAACTTGTAAAGGCTTTGTGTAATAATGACATTAAGTAATGAGAGATGCTAGGTGCTATTATTTTATTTTCCTGAGTCTCTAGCTTTGCATATCTCAAGTGAATGGGATGTATCTGTTCCATTTCGGAGGCATGACTAAGTCACCTGAAAGTTGACAGGACTGGCCTGGAGATCAATGAAACTGGACCCTGAGACCCATGACAAGCTCCAACGGGTCAGAAACAGCTTCAGAAAGTAAAGCAAGTTCAGTGTATCAGGTAAAATGTGGTGTCTGGAGGATCTGCGTAAAGAAAAGAAGTGGTGGTTGAAGCTGGCTGGTGGCACTCCAGAAGTCAAATAAGAAATGCTGGTGTGACACACCGTGTTAGCAGACTATGATGCACCTGTCACTGGGCATTACAGGCTGGACCAAATGCAGTCCACAGCAGAGCTGTGTAGACTGCGTACATAACAAAGTTGTGGACAGGAAGCGAGACAATCTAAGAAACCACTGCAGACCTAGAGGCTTGAAATGGCCACTGTATAAGGCTTGCAGATCAGTAATTTAGGAGCATTTTTCTTTGCTCCTTGAGACAAGCTTCATCTAGGAAGACTGGAAGGCTAGGGATGCCTAGAAATAGTGCTGGAAATCTATTCCTAGCATGTTTAGGGTTGATATGGCTCTCAGTGGAGATCTCACCTGACCTGCCAGGAAGAACATCTACATGTGGTATTACCGTGTAATTTCTCCACATGGACTAATGAAGGATTTCCCACAGATGGCAGGAGATATCATGACTGAGTGTCCTGTGAGAACAAGGCATAACACTGACTACTAAAGCCACAAGCCATCACATACTCTAGGTTCAAGGAGAGGGGACATAAGCTTCACCTTTGCGTGTTGGGGATCACAAAATGATGTCATAAGACAAGCGTGTGGGATGGGAGACGTTGGAGCAAGCATCTTTGGGACATTCACTCTGCCTCAGGTATTTGCAGCTTTATTAAATTATTAGTGTGTGATGGTTAAGAGAACAAGATCTGGAGCCAGGCTGCCTGGTTTCACAATCTGATTCTTCCACTTACTAGCTGTGAGATTTTTGGCAGGTCATTTAAACTTTGCATGCCTCAGCTTTCTGCTTTGTGAAGTGGGAAGATGGATGGTACACATCTTGTTGGACCATTGTAAAGGTTCAGTGAGCAAATAGCATGACAAGTATGCAAAGCTTTGCATATGATAAATGCCCATTAAAGACAAGTGTTTAATATTATTATCATCTCTAAGTGGGTTCCTCATGCAAAGATCCAGGTTTAGAGAACAATCCGGAAGTGACCAAAACCATGGGACAAAGTTCCAGCTAACTCGTTAGATAACGTGACCTGATGTTAAGAGGAAGAATGCGAGGCAAGTGGCAATTAATTGCTGCTCTTCTAGGTCAGATCTGATCTCAGAGATGGAGCCTGTCTTTTAGGTGCAGTTAAGGGACAGAGTGACATCATTCCTGCAGAAATGAAGAGAACCTTAAGCTCAGGAAGAAAAAAGGCCTGATTCTGCACACCTAAGAAGTTCTGACTCTTAACACTCTTTCCCTGCATAAGCCCCTCTGTGTCTCATTGAGGCTTTGCTTACCTACCAAGTAATAGGCCTGGAGCAAAGTCATGTTAAGTGAAAAGTGACTGACAGAGGGAAAAAGCCTACTCCACTGCCATAAAGGCTTATTGAAATATGTTTAGAAAATGTAGCATGGGTTGGAAGAGACCATTTATCTTAGTTACTTTTCTCTGGTTGCTGGGACAGAATACCTAAAGCCCAAGTTAATGAAGGAAACGTTTATTTAGCTCACAGTTTGTGGAGGTTTCAGTCCATAATCACCTGGCTCCAAGGCAGGATGGCAGGGCACAGGGGCAACAGTTCAAGGTGGCAGAAGACAGCAAAAGCAGCAAGAGCAAAAGGGGGAGAGGAAGAGCAAGTCTGTTTTCCTCCCTTATATTGTAAGCAAGCTACCACCCCCGTGGGGTGTGTATATCACTTACACCATCCCTGTGCCCTCCTCTTGCACAGGATGAGGATGTTTACAAAGTAAGGGCCCTGACCCCTGCGGAATCACTTAGGTGAACTTCTAAACTTCTCGAGTTGACACAATGAACAACATCCTGGAGCGGTAGGGGCATGGCCTTTCCCCCCAGGATACAGAACTGCTGAGTCACTTGTTAAGTTTCTAGACTTGCAGTTGCCACTGTGTATCAAGCATTGCCCCTCACTTAAGTGAAAAAGGAATTTATTCTTTTAACAGAAAGTCTAGGAGGACAGAGCTTTAGCTGTATTCACAGGCTCAAAGGACATCCTTAAAAATTTCTTGCTGTTCTCCACTACCATAAATCTGTTCCATCATTAATTAATCCATCACATGTTTATTAGGGGCTTACTATGCAGTAGGCTTGTTTTAGGCACTAAGATTATGGGAGTGAGCAAGGTAGCAAAATCCTCGATCTCATGGAACTTCTTTCCAGGGCAGAGAACATAGGACAAATAAGCAGGGAAGTGGCACCTGATTAGGATCCCAGCACTCTGGGAAGCTGGGGTGAGATGATCAGACATTTGAGACCAATCTGGGCAATTTGGAGTCTCAGTAAGAGCCTGTTTCAAAATAAAAAATAAAAGGATGGGTGATATAATCTAATGCGGTGGCACAGTGTTCGAACACCAACCGGTACCACAAAAAAAAAAAAAAGAAGAAAGAGAAAAATGAAAATATACACAGTTTCAGTTAATAATGTAATGGCCTAGTTAAGGGACTATAAAGAGAAGTAGACTAGTGACAGAAAATCTGAGCTGGTGGCTGGTGGCACATGCCCACACAGGTAGTGAGAGAGCACTTGCCATTGCTGATGTGGGCAAAAACATTCCAGGCAAAAGGAACAGTACCTGTGATGATGTTGATACAAGGATGAATTTCCTGTGTTTGAATAAATAAAAACAGGCCATATGGGCAGGGCTAAGTGACTATTTTGGCTTGTGTCTAGATGGCCTCTCAAAGCCTCATGCAGTTGTAGGTGGGGCTTTTTCAGAGGTGCCTGAATCTAGAGTATGTGATTGATTCATGGTTTAGTGCTGGAATTAAGGGTGCTAGGATAAGGGTGGGTGGTTACTAAGTCAGTTCACTGGTTGATATGCACTGCTCTAATCCTGATTGCCTGGAAACAGTATGAAGGACAGAAAGAGGCTTTTCTTGCCCCTCTCTTGCTGGCTTTGCTACCTTCTGCCCACCATGAACTGTTTCTCCTCTGGCATGACTGTCTGCCACGCCACCCTGCCTGAGAGCCCACCCTCTCCTCTGAATATGAAGGGGTCATTCCTCGAGTGAAGTTGTGGGTACACTTAATAAATAAGGCAATGAGTGTTTGATAGGCAGAAGTGGTAGAAGCCTTCCGTGCTGTATAATAAATCCTTGAACTAATCTCTACTTGGCATAACCCACAACGTCCGTAGAGTTCATTTCCCACCTTGCCTCCCCTCCACTCCGCATCAGCCCAGGCAAGAGGAATTCGCTTGAGTGGTGAGGCATTTCCTCTTTAAGCCAGGATGGCTTTTACCTGTGTGGCCCTTGTTCCACTCTCCCAGGTTTCTCTGTGAAACTCCAGTATGATCCCTGAGAGCCCTTTGGAAGATAAATGGAACATCTCCTTCAATAACTACGTTCACCCCTTAAATAATCTGGGTTCATTCTTTTCCCTACCCAGTCACAGTTCCATTGAGACCCCAGTCATGTTCATTGGAGTGTTTTGTACTTTGTCGGATGTTCCATGCTCTATTCTCTCTCTCTCTCTCTCTTTTTCTCTCTCTCTCCTCTCTCTCTGTCTCCTCTCCCTCTCTCTCCTCTCTCTCTTTGTCTCTGTGTGTGTGTTTCAGGGATTTCTAGTTTATCAGGAACAGTGTCTTAGTTTAAGCTAGAATAAAATAGTACTGTAGTATGAAATGAAGTGTTTCCACATGCAGAAGAAGTCACCAGACGGCAACTCATGGAGGTTAGTTTAGGGGAAGAGAGAGGATCAGAAAGCAGCTTGAGAAGCAGAATGGTAGAGTAATATGAGGAGAATCCTGCTCGGGTCCTCAGTGTTTTATGTAATACTGTGATGTCACGTGGTTTGCAGCCTCTTGTTTGTAAGAGAAAAGTTGGTGAGAATATTCTTTTTCATATGGAATTCATTGTTTCCTTGCCATGTATTCACTCATTGAATATTTATTGAGCACCTACTACATATTGGGCATTGTACAACAGGGATGTGGAGAAGGAAATACTTTCTGCAGGACTTAGTTTGGTATGGGAGACAGGATAGAAAGCAAGAAAGTGGGGTGAGGGTTGTAAAGGTGGGATGAGGGCTGAGAGGGGAGGGTGAATAGATGAAGCAGGGTGTGTGAGTCTGCTCACCTCCTGGTTTCAGTTCTAGGCAA